TTTTAGACTGATTATGAATTTCCTGTAGTTGAATATTTTCATTTTATGCTTTATACTTTTACTCCTCTTCAACTCAGAGGGAACTATTCTACTTTTTACTACATTACATTTATTTGTCAGCTTTATTTACGTTTAAGACTCAGATTGATAATACAAAATATAATCCACTCATAAATGATGGTGTATTATGTATCCAAAAATATATATAGCCTTGCATTTTTAATAACAATATCCTTTTGGGCTTTAATGCATGAATGAAGATAATGACAGATTATTAGATCCTGGGCTTAAAAAAAGTAAAACAAATTGTCTATTCTTATTTAAAATATATATATATTAATAAATGAATGAATGAATAAAAATTAAATTAACAGTAAGGATATTCATAACCACAACTTTGGGGCTATTTTATGAAATTACCAAACATTTATTTATTACTGTCTGTTACTGTTACTTTTATTTTAAAAGTTTTTACCAGAAGTCTTCATATGCTTTTGTTTCTGTCTTGAGGCTGGTGTAAAATGATTGTTATGATAATCTAGATAATAACTAATTAATTTTCTTTAATTAATTCTCTAATTTTACCTTTACTCGTATAAATGAAGGCTTTTCTCAGATAACTGAGTTTATTAAAAAAACAAAAAAAAGTAATAAGCCTTAGGAAAATTATACTATTTTTCCCCAAAAATCTTCTGACTGAATATATCTTTCTCTCTCTATGGATGTACCTCTGTTTTTTCTATTTTTTCCTTTTTAATTTGATGTCATTTTCTTTTAACATTGCCACTTATTCTTTATTTGTATTTGTGTGTATATGTGCTGTTATTATTTCAGGTGTCAAATTAGTGTTCACTGCCCTCCAGTGGTCACAGTGGGGAACTGCAACACCACAATAGACGCTTTGCTTAATGGAATATGTAGATGTACTATTACTGTGATTATTAGTAATAACAACTGAAACATCAATATTGATAATAAGTGGATTAATAGAGAGTTCTATTGCATAGAAATTATTTGCTGGAAGTATCAGCGTTGGCATATTGTCCGATGGGTTGAGCAGGTTGAGCTGGTTGTGTTCAGAGTCATGAGTGTCCTCTGACCTCTTGTGGTCACAGTGAGGAACTACATTGCTTTAGAACCACTGACAGTAAAAATGGATTACACACAATCCATGCCTACACCATGGATGTATTGGGAGGCCAACATACATAATACCATACTAACACTTACTAACCACACCTATACATACCAGCCATACTAATACCTTCAAAATAAAACAATCCACTGAGCAGGCACTCAGTGTCATGGAGGCAAAGCACTCAAAATCAGACCCAGTCACACCCACAGTACCAGAAGTTGTAGTACCGGTCCAACCTGTGTTGGTGCTAATGTAGACATGGTGATGTGCAACATCTACAGGCAAAAAAAAAAAAAAAAAAAAAAAGATTTTTAACAGTGTTCTTTCTTGCGTGTGTTTATATTTTACACTGTAAACCTACAAAATGTAACTGAAGCATATTTTCATCTGAATATTGGGAACTGGGCAAAGGTTCTCTGCTCTCTGTCACACAATGTAAAAAGGATGAGAGGTAGAGAGTGGGGATAGATGAGATTTGGAGACCAAAAAATATATAAATAAATAAATAAAAATTGTGATGTATCAGGTAGGGCTGCACCATATTGGACTTGTTGCCGATATGTGATATGCAGGTATGTTACTATTCATTAAATAGATACAGATATTGATATACCCACTTTTTCCCCACTTAATTTTAGTGATCATCAAGTCTCATCTATAGTGGAATTAACATCATATTACACATACATACTTATCATGATGACCCACCATTATGCAAAATAACAAAAAGAATGTTGGCCGATTCTAATAGATAATTTTAAAGCCAATATCGGCCGATATCAATGACTTGCAAATATTATCGTGCACTGCTAATATCAGCGATGTCTACATGTGTATACTTCACACACATCTTCCAGCCAACAACACAGAGGATCTATACAATCGCTTCTGTTCCCGAGTTATAGTGGTTGAATAACAGCTGGAAAAAATGTTTTTGCAGAATATTATGTTGTCAAAGTCAAGTTGACCTGTGACCTCTTGGATACAAAATGTCATCATGTTATCATTTTATCCTGTTCGACATTTGGTCAAATTTTGCTCTAATTAGTGTATGAATTACTGAGTTATGGCCACAAATGGGTTTGTGAGGTCACACTGACCTTTGACCACCAAATTCTAATCAGTTCATATAATTTTTTATTCAACAAGGAGCCCGTGACCTTTAGAGTTTCTTCAGGGGACCGCAAAATTACTGCATGATTTGATAAATTTAATGTTTTGTTTGTTTTTTTGGAGTGCTGCGCCTCTGACCTGGTCCCAGATAAGCAGATGAAAATGAATGATGGATAGATGGATGTTTTTTAATAAAATGAAAATATGTCTGAAAATAGCAGCTCTTTTTCCACATATTGGCTAATTAGCTGTATTATCATTTCAAATGTATGGACAGTCTTGTAAGCAACAATGGACTGTTTTGTAACTGTTCGAGCAAGAGACTCTGACACACTGTCCTCCTCTGGGTCTAAGATTTGTCCGAAATGAAAAATGGGTCCAATATTAACTGTTTTTGATAAAACTAATATTAATAGTGACTATGAAGCAAATGAACTGATCATAATCTGTACTCACATTTACTTTTGCTAGTGTCTCAGTGTGGCGGTAGATTAATGAGTGATTGATGTATGCAAGCTGTTGTATGGTGTAGACCACAAACTAAAAAACAAGGCTGAAGCCAATTTAACAAGAACATGGTGCCAGGTGAGGGGAAGGGAGCAAACTGATTGAACAGCCAGGCTAAAATGAGCTGCCCCTGGGAGACTGGACAGGTGCTCCCAGTTGCACTTACTCAGCTCCGCCCACCAGGACCTGCAAGACACAACAACAGACAGATAGGGAAAAACACACACAGCAGGCCCTGGTGAAGCAGGAGGCCGTCACACAGGTGTAAAGGCACAAAAAGCAACAAGTGGCTCTTTGTCTGCAGGTGGCAGCACTGTTTCTGAAATGAAGTGCAGAGGCTGTGACTTCTCTCAGTGCCTATATGTCTTAAACTGGCCTGACAATGACAAAAAAAAGCTCCCTCTTTTAGAGTCGGCTAATCTGGAATTCATACTTCTGCATTGACTCGACACCGTAGCTATGGCGTAGGCTCTGTGTTGACATGGAGCCTATGCCTGTTTCAGTGAGCTGAAACCATTTCCCTCAGTGGAAACAAAACTTTTATTTACTTTAATTTCACAGATAAGAAACAATAAATTATGAAGACAATAAAGCCTCCACGTAAATACGATTTTAAGTCTTGTGTGTGATTTATCCTTTAGGGATTTATACTTAAGGATTTATCCTGGCTTCATATGAGCAGAGCAAATCTCCACTTGTCGCTAGGCTAATTTATACAATGTAAAATGTCATAGGCTTGTGCTAATAACGTTAGCATCTTATATTTGTTTGGAAAACGTTTTTAGTATAAGAGTTGTTTTGTCAGTGAACCTTGTGAGTTGTAATGGAGCCAAATTGTGTGACGTTACCTTTGTTAAATGTTGCTGTTGTCCCTGGTTTTATATCAGAAAAGTCTGCTAGCTGCTAGGCTAAATTATACAATGTAAAATGCCATAGGTTTGTGCTAAAAACATTAGCATGTTGTATTTGTGGTGAAAATGTGTCCAGATAAAGACAAGTGTTTGTGAATGCTGCAAGTTATAGCGAAGCTGATTTGTGTACTTGTGTTTGAAGTTGTCTCTATTAAGCCATGTTTAATGTGTGTTTCATGTGTGTTTTGAATGAAGTAAATGTTACAGCACTTCACAGAAACTCCGCCACCAACTAGTGTTTTGGAGGTGTAACTGCAGTGACACAGGCACACCAATGCATAAGTAGAAACAGCGTAGGCTACACAACTATAAATCCCGCATAGAAATGGGTGAGTACATTACTTCCAAGAGGCATTTCAAATAAAAAAAGACAGAATTTCGTTTATTTTTTTATTTTCTATAAAAGAGATGAGTTTATTCAATGATCATAACAGACTGAATCAGAGACCTCGATAGACCACTCACATACCAAACAATAAATCGAGGAAAATGTTTGAAACAAAACCCCCAAAACAGAACAAATGTAACACAAAATAAAATACCTGAATAAAGCAAACTCTGGGCTGAGCTGCAGGTCAGCACATTCTCTGTAGAACTCATGGCACATTATGTCCAACAGTTATCGTGAAAAGGAAAGAGGCTAAAAGGAATGAAGTTTTTTTTTTTGTTGTCTAACCCTTTTCAAAAACCAGTCTAATAATAAAAATTCTATATTCATATATGGTGGACTTCATAGTGAATTAAAAAGGTGACTTTAAGCACAGGAACAAGTTCTCCTGAAGTACTGTTTATCTGTTTACGCTCCTCATCAATAGAATGCTTATCTACATCGGGGAACATGCCTCCTGCACCACACACTTTAATATATATAAAAAAAAAAAAAATCAACAAAAACAAAACACACAGTCACGCAGCCCTCCAAATTTACACAGTCACACTCACAGACCAAACGCTAGTGTGGCAACGCTGAAACATATCTACCTAAAATCCGCTGATTGAACAAAATGAGAAAGTTGTTGTCAGATGTGTACACTCATAGAAGTCCAGCTAAAACTAAATTTAAAACCCGAATATTGACAACGGGTAAAATATAAAACGCTGTCTTTTCCTTTTTTTTTTGTTTCTTTTTTTTTTTAAATTACTTTTTTATTTTTTTACACAAACTCTTTCAAAAATCTCCCTCCCCGTTCAAATATTACACCACCCAGTCCTGACCTGCCCCCTTTTCTAAACCCCCCCACCCCCTCGAAGTGTAATATAAGCCAACGAGAATTGCAATACAATACAGGCACTGGAGAAAAAACACCATAAGAGACGAGTGAAGAGGACGAGATGCATTCAGATTTCGGCCTGTCCCCGGTCCAAACAAAGTCTCCGAGAACAGAATTATAACTCACATCCACTATTTATTGAACAAGAACAAAGCATAAAAATCAAAACTGTTTTTTCAGAGTTTTCTGCTTCTTAACTTTTGTCTTTTTATTTTGTACTCTTGACAGTGTGCCCTCGGTGAATTAGAAGACGATGTGATGCGACTCCTTCCGGTCCCTTCAGCTATTTTCCTTTCTTTCTTTATTTTTTTTAAACTAAAACTGATTCAAGTTAACAGCTACAGAAAGTGTTTGTCTTATTCCCCTGATTGTTCCCGTCCTGCCTCGAGCGCTCTGCCTGTTGACATTTGATCAAAACCTCGAGGTAAGATCAGAGCGCACACGGAGGGAGCAGCGAGGGGCTCCTTATCTTCTCGTTTTTTTTAACTGATCCATTAGTGTGACTGTTGCAAACAGGCTGATGATATCCAACGTTATGTCTCTAAGTGTAATACAATAAATGGTGCGAAACTTGTACTGAAATATTCCAACTAAAGCTTTCCCCCCTTCTCTTCAGCTAACAAGTTCCTGTTGTAGCTTTAACTAAAAAAAAAAAAATACAAGGCAGGATGAAAACTTGATTCTGTTTTTGATAAATACTTGCTGGACCTATGTTAATGCATATATTCAGGGTTGTTTTTTGACACTAGCTACCTACCATGTTTTAGGACAAGTAATTTAGCATAAAAGATAATGGGTTTGTTTGGCATAGACATAGGTGGTGGAGTGTGATGGTGCGATTCAAAGACCTAAAGAGGAAAAAGAAAAAAGAAAGATCCAAAATAAACAGTTATCGTAGTATAAGAAAATACTTCTTTACAGTAGATACTAGATGATGAAAAAAGGTCTGCTCCTTCTCCTGGTTGTAAATGTTATTGGTTTGTCCATGTGTGCAGGCCACAGAACATAATGGTCTGTTTAGGAAAAGAGGTGTAAGGCAAACTGTACCTTCTCTGCTGAGAAATATACATGATTTACAGTGTGGAAGTTGCCCCCCCGCCCGCCCTGCCCACCCCCGATCCATGTCATTTGTTCACTTACAACAATCAAAACAAAACAGAACATAAAAGACCAGTCTTCTTCACCACCTCAGACATCTGGCAGTTTCAAAAACACCTCTGCGCAGTCTGTCAGTACATTATCAGAGCATTTTCATAGTTATTGGGATGTCCTTACTTTTGCGATTTATCGTTGCACCCACAAACATTGTTAAGAAGCAAGTGACAAAGGCAACTGTGCCGACAGGGGTCCTCTGCTTCCCGTTACGAGATATCTGGCAGGCGATTCCCAGGAAATGACATCCAGAACAATGAGACTGTCCCCCGTTGTGTTGTCTGTGTGTGTGTGTGTGTGTGTGTTCAGTCCACAGGGGCACAGCGACATGTGAGCGCCCATCCAGCGTTTGTACTCCGAGGGCCCGTCACATCTACATAACAGTCCGTGTCCCTCTGTGGTGCATGTTCGCCAAATCTCTCTTTAGAGGAAGTTTACATTATCAAAGTTTTTTCTTTCTTCTTTTTTTTTTTTCTTTTTAGGTTTTTTTTTGCAGTTACGTTTCCGTTGCTCCTCTCCTCAAAACAGGTTCTCCTCAAAGATAGCCATTAAGTCACTTTGGAAATTCATGTCAATAGTTGCCGCCATCTGGAGAGAGAAAAGAACAAGTCAGCATTTCTGAACAGTTATTGCTTCTGTTTGTGTTTAAGTTAAGCTCCTCATCTATGGTGCACATCTGTGACAATTCACACTATCTTCTGCATTACATGTTATAATAAAGACATTTACACACCAGAGACTTTTCATTCATTATTCCATACATACACGTAACAGCTTTTTCTAAGAGTTTTGGCCGTCAGTCCACACAATCTGCGTTTTAACTCTGTCCAGGGTGAAGATATACAGAAACTCAGTTGTCAGAGTCTACATGTACAGAGGGAGAATTAAGTTTTAGGCTTATAACATATGTTATGTTATGTTTGTGACGCATCACAAATAAGGCAGCATTTCATGCAACGTCGGGCATGGCCAAAATAGTGCTGGTTCTAACCTTGTAAACACGACTTTTTACATGTTTACACATAAATGTACAGTTACTCCAGGCAGGGAGCCTTTTGGTAATAGCTTTTTTTTTTCAGGCTGCCGATTGGCCAACATCTACTACTTCTTCTTCTTCTTCTTATCGCCTTATATCTTATATCTTCATACAAAAATACTCATGTCTGTGTGGACTGTGGTTTTTGTCAAGAGTTCTATCACACAGAAGATTATGCTGCAAAAAAGTGACACGGCATAATATTTTTTTCAAAACAACGATGTTGATTTTTCTGAGCTTTTGCACTGTGAATAAAGGCATCAACCAATCATGTTGCACCTGTACTTCAGAGAATTATAAAACACAGACCACAGTCCTTCACCAGGTTGTGTACACACGTAAGTAATCTACAAAAACCTGTCTAACAGGTAAAAATATGTATATAATCAGATAATTTCAAATGTACTGGCATGGGTAAAAATAAACTGCACATGGGCAGGCAGTAGGTGAAAATTTTTTTTTTTTTCATTTTTCAGAATAAAACAAATGAAAAAGATGCGCAGTATGTATGTCATATTTTGACATCTAAATCACTATTATGTAGCTGCAATTCCTTTTATTTTGAAATTCAATGACACAACTTTGACCACATCGTCAAATTCCTCACCATTGTGGAGGACTTCAGAGATTAAATTTTGCAGTCTGAGGATGAGGTGGCAGCCTACAACGAGTTCAAGACACCCATGGAGAATCCTTTTGAGGTTTTATGGTGTTGGAAGGAGCAAGCTAAAATATTTCCTACCCTGGGAGCGATTGTGCGGAATATTTTTGCCATCCTGGCATTGAGCGCAGCCAGTTAAAGAGACTTTACCTCTGCTGGATTTGTAATTCAAGACCGGAGACCCTAGCGTAATGTGAGTGACTGTAGCCTGTGTGTGGGTGCAGGTTTTCAAAAATGGGCCAGTGCAGGACTCTGGTGCAGATCAGATCCACTGTGGCAAGTCAATCTGCATCAAAACCTTTCACTGAACAAGTGTTACAATTATCACAATTCCGCATCGCTGGTGGTATGAAAAGTTGTGATGTTAAATATTCATATTTTGCCTGTTTGTGTCTTTGATACGTCACACCCCTGGTGTGTAAAGGCCTTTAGCATCATATTTAACTCCATAAAATTAAAGAGTGTTAAACAATTATCTCACCGCTTCTCGCCTCCTCCTCTCCTGCTCTCGGCGGCGTGCTAGCTCCCTCTGTTGGTCGAGTGGGTTCTGTGCGGTGGGCTGAGGCGGAGTGGGGGGTTGTGGAGGCTGCTGGATGGCAGCTGGCTGTGGGTCCTGCTGTTGCTGCTGCTGCTGCTGCTGTTGTTGTTGCTGTTGTGAAGGAGCTTGAATGTGTTGCTGCTCCAGACGTCTGCGTGGCTCCTCGTGCACCCTTCTGCTTGGCTCCATGATGTCCTCTTCATCTCGACCTCTGGAAAACATTCAGGACAATAATTCACATTAGGTGAGTCAAATACGTGTGACATTGCTGCAGAGGGTTCACAGCTGGTTTCATCTTTGATGTATCGTGGGGGAAAATGGCTGACCTAAACATAAAACAAGGCCAGAAAAACAAGATCACTTAGAGAGAATAACAACATGGATAAAGATCTGCACAGAGATACTTTAGCTAAAGGACTCAGCAAGCTGGTTTCTAAACTGTTAAATCACACATTACGCACATGGCTCAGCACGTCTACTTCCCACAGCAGAGTCTGTCCATTATAATCACCTGAAGCTACTACACTGACCACAGGAGCCCCCACGCCCGTGCCCATTGCTTATCTCTATTTTTAAGAGCCTGGTCTATTTTTTCCTCTACATGCTGCTCCACAGCCCTCCAACAGGTACTGTACATCATGTTTATTATTAAGGAGTTTAATGATTACAAGATCTTTACCATCTGTGGCCTATTAAAAGAGCTATTAAACAACATTAGCTCGGCCTTGTCAGTTTCAGTTGAGGCAGGGTATTAAAAGCATGATTAAAACCGCACTGAAAATATGTAATGGCTTGAGCAAGAGTAGATGTCCATATGTACTCTCTGATGCCAATAATTCAGGACTAACATCATGCCTCACCAAGCAATGCATGTAATTGGTGAGAATATTTTATTTAATTCTGAATCTTATAGTTCAGAAAAATTAATAGGGGCCATAGCCTGGAAACACAGTTATCTTTCCATACTGTCTTTTCTTTGTTCCATACTTATTCAGACATGGAAATGACTAAAATCAAACTTCATACTTTTCCACACTGTGCTGGAACCCTGGGCCCTACAATACAGCCACTAGAGGGCGTAACACTTCACCTCATAGTACACTGTTTCCCATGTTTTCTTTATCAGCCCACACAAGTACATTCACAGTGCATTTTTGTCTTACAGTTATTACTGAGATTGAAAATATACAACAAATTAAGGACAGGTGTTTCTCCTCAAAATACTATATTTCCCTCATGCGGTAAATATGTGGCACCTTTATTTTGTGTTCTTCTGGGCAACCTTACCGTAGTTTGTCCTGCTCTCTGCGCAGCCTGTCTTTTTCCGCTTGCTCGGCTTGGGCCTTCAGGGCTTTCTCCCTCTCCTCTTTCTCCCGGGCGGCACGACGGAACTGCTCGAAACTGTCGCTTGATGACTTCACTGCAGATAAGGGTGTAGACGTAGACTTTTGTGCCAGGCTGGCCCATGAACCCATATTCTTCAGTTTCACATCCTGAAAGAAGACGCACAGAGACAGGAAGAAAATCCATCATCAATCATTACCAAAAATCTTGCGAGATGCAACGCAATGAAGTTCACACATGAGGAACTGAGAGAGGTGTGTGAGATAATTTTAAAAACCACTCACCTGTACCTTTTTGGGGGCAATGGGCACCTTGGACTCCTGTTTGAACTTCTCCTTGTCTTGCAAAGAGGAGGGTGGTCCACTGGACTCGGAGGAGCGGATGACAGGTCGCAAGCCGTCCATAGACTTCACATCTGCTCAACACAAGTACGCATATACATACAGAGTCTCAGTATCTTTTATGGCTCCTTCTTCTTATGCATTTTGTCCACAGTAAGCCAGAGGAAAAAGAAAACGTGTTGCTACTCACTCTGTTGGCTGTGGCCTGGTTGAGAAGGCTTGTTGTCAGGATGTTTGTGATGGTCTGGTCTCATTGCAGGATTAAATGGCTCTCCTCTCATCACTGGTGATGGAGGCAGTTTCTCCTCCTTTACTCCACCATGGCTCCCAGGGGCTCTCTGCTGCGTGATAAAAAAATTGAGTCAAAGTCAGACACAGGCATATGGAGACATAATGTTAGCCCTGCAGTAAACCGTAAAAACAAGCTTCTCACCTTTTTGTTGTGAGATGGAGACTGGTGAGATACAGGTGGATACTGGGGAAGTTGTGGGGAATGCATCATGAGAGGGGATGGGTTGTCCCTCATGTGACCTGCCAACGAAGGAACAGAGCTTAAAACTTCAGCCAGTACAATTTTGACTTCTACAGCCAGCTACAAAAAACATTTTTGTGTTATCTTCCCACCTGCATTGTAAGGGTCGGCCTTGGTGAGGCGAGGGGAGGGCTGCTCTTGCTGCTGCTGGATGATCTGCTGTGCTTTGTTGGTGGGCATGGATACCTTGTGTTGTGATACCTGGGGCTGACCAGCTAGGCCAGTACCCTGCTGGTAGTTCATTTGTTGCGGTTGTGGCTGCTGTTGCTGCGGCTGAGCATGCTGCATGTGGCGGGCCTGGTGTAGAGGCATCTGTTGGGGCGGGGCCTGATGTGACGGGGCTGGCTGAGCCTGGGACTGAATAGGAAGCTGGGGAGGAGGCAGCGTGGTCTGGGAGGAGAGTTGAGATTGTGTCTGTACAGACTGCAGTAGGGAGATCTGTCCTGGTTGTTGTTGTTGCTGCTGCTGCTGCTGCTGCTGCTGCTGACGAGCCTGCGCCTGGAGCGACTGCATGGACTGCTGGGGCTGACGGGCTTGTTGGAACTGCTGCAGGTATAACTGTACTTGGTTCAGAGGCGTTGTAGACCCTGGCTCTTCATCATCCTCCAGCAGCATCTGGGGAGGCTGGGAAGACAGCAAGCCCTGGGGTGTGAGCGTTGGAGGTGACATAGGCCGCTGGTGCAGGGGCTGAGGAGGGTGGAGGATCTGAGAGGGGAGCTGGTGCTGTGGTGGTGGTGCTGCTGCCTGGGGCTGGAGCTGCTGCTGCTGCTGCTGCTGCTGCTGCTGCTGTTGTTGCTGCTGCTGCTGTTGTTGCTGCTGCTGTTGCAGAGTTGGCTGCTGCTGAGGAGGTGCTGGTTGCTGCTGAGGGGGTTTGGGATGAAGAGGCGCTGCCTTGTGACTGGGTCGAGAAGGCTGCTGAGGCATGGAAATGTGCAAGGCTGAGGTTGCACAGTTCCAGGAAAAGAAGAAGAAACAAAATGTATAATTAACACAAATTTATTGTTCCAAAATCATCTTCCTCCAGGTGATGTTTTTTGTGATTGTGATCATTCACATGTTAACTGAGAAAAAAGGAAAATACCAGTTCAATTTGTAAAATGTGTAAATGCATTTTACAGTTATTTTGTGGGAACTGATAAAAACAGCATTTTTTGTAAATGCTCCCCACTGTGACACACAATCTGACAAGTACAAGCCAGTGGTGATTTATCTATTTTCTGAAGCACAAAAAATGGTGAGTAAAAATCTCGGAGAACTGTTGGACCACCAGCCAAGATGACATTTTCAGATGACATTACTGATGTTATCTTGGTATCAACCTAAAAACTGCTACAATGATCAATGAGACATAACTGAGCGTGGGAATGGCCATTATATGCTTCAGTCATTCTGTTCTAGGCCCTTGTGCACTCTAAACTCTATAAGTTTGAATAGGCACCTAACAAAAACACAATTTTTAACACATATTTATGACAAGAAAAATTTGACTGACAGTGCTGAGCTGCATCTCAAATTAATCTTAGGTACCCTGCTTTCAGATGATGTACAGTACAGGCCAAAAGTTTGGACACACCTTCTCATTCAATGCGTTTTCTTTATTTTCATGACTATTTACATTGTAGATTCTCACTGAAGGCATCAAAACTATGAATGAACACATGTGGAGTTATGTACTTAACAAAAAAAGGTGAAATAACTGAAAACATGTTTTATATTCTAGTTTCTTCAAAATAGCCACCCTTTGCTCTGATTACTGCTTTGCACACTCTTGGCATTCTCTCCATGAGCTTCAAGAGGTAGTCACCTGAAATGGTTTCCACTTCACAGGTGTGCCTTATCAGGGTTAATTAGTGGAATTTCTTGCTTTATCAATGGGGTTGGGACCATCAGTTGTGTTGTGCAGAAGTCAGGTTAATACACAGCCGACAGCCCTATTGGACAACTGTTAAAATTCATATTATGGCAAGAACCAATCAGCTAACTAAAGAAAAACGAGTGGCCATCATTACTTTAAGAAATGAAGGTCAGTCAGTCCGGAAAATTGCAAAAACTTTAAATGTGTCCCCAAGTGGAGTCGCAAAAACCATCAAGCGCTACAACGAAACTGGCACACATGAGGACTGACCCAGGAAAGGAAGACCAAGAGTCACCTCTGCTTCTGAGGATAAGTTCATCCGAGTCACCAGCCTCAGAAATCGCAAGTTAACAGCAGCTCAGATCAGAGACCAGATGAATACCACACAGAGTTCTAGCAGCAGACCCATCTCTAGAACAACTGTTAAGAGGAGACTGCGCGAATCAGGCCTTCATGGTCAAATAGCTGCTAGGAAACCACTGCTAAGGAGAGGCAACAAGCAGAAGAGATTTGTTTGGGTCAAGAAACACAAGGAATGGACATCAGACCAGTGGAAATCTGTGCTTTGGTCTGATGAGTCCAAATTTGAGATCTTTGGTTCCAACCGCCGTGTCTTTGTGAGACGCAGAAAAGGTGAACGGATGGATTCCACATGCCTGGTTCCCACTGTGAAGCATGGAGGAGGAGGTGTGATGGTGTGGGGGTGTTTTGCTGGTGACAGTGTTGGGGATTTATTCAAAATTGAAGGCACACTGAACCAGCATGGCTACCACAGCATCCTGCAGCGACATGCCATCCCATCCGGTTTGCGTTTAGTTGGACAATCATTTATTTTTCAACAGGACAATGACCCCAAACACACCTCCAGGCTGTGTAAGGGCTATTTGACCAAGAAGGAGAGTGATGGAGTGCTGCGGCAGATGACCTGGCCTCCACAGTCACCGGACCTGAACCCAATCGAGATGGTTTGGGGTGAGCTGGACCGCAGAGTGAAGGCAAAGGGGCCAACAAGTGCTAAACACCTCTGGGAACTCCTTCAAGACTGTTGGAAAACCATTTCAGGTGACTACCTCTTGAAGCTCATCGAGAGAATGCCAAGAGTGTGAAAAAGCAGTAATCAGAGCAAAGGGTGGCTATTTTGAAGAAACTAGAATATAAAACATGTTTTCAGTTATTTCACCTTTTTTTGTTAAGTACATAACTCCACATGTGTTCATTCATAGTTTTGATGCCTTCAGTGAGAATCTACAATGTAAATAGTCATGAAAATAAAGAAAACGCATTGAATGAGAAGGTGTGTCCAAACTTTTGGCCTGTACTGTATGTGGCATAAACTGTTCACCTGCTATCTCCCCATAAAGATCCCCTGTGCCCTAAAAAAAAAAAAACAAGACAAACATGGCTCTATGGTGGGTCTCAGAGTGAAATGTTGAGTTTATTCTAGTAATGAGGTGGTTCTTAGTGTTCTTCTGAGAGAATAGCATGAGGTCTGATTAATCGAATCTTTAAGTTATGGTGGATTCTCATCGGTTTCCTATGTTAAGTTTAAAAAAAAAAAAAAATGTGTTTGTTGGAGAAAAATCAGTGTCGACAGACATTTTGTCACGTGTGTGTTTCAGTTAACATGGGTTGATCATTTAACTATTCAGTGTTCTGTTCAATATTTTTTCTGCCATTTATGGAGACATAGTGTGTGCCCATTTGAAAAAGCACAGGGACTGGTTATAATTCTTCGAGGGATTGCAGTTACACCTGCAGAAACAGTGAAACAATGAAAATCCAAGTACCCATTAATATTAGACCCATCAGAGGTGCAGTGGCCTGGATACAGCCTTACCTGGAGATGGGAGGACGGGATGCTGGTTGAGGAAGGGGTGGGTCTCAGGGGACACTGGCCCAGCAGAATGAGCGTTGAGGTGTGGAGGTGCAGGTGAGGAGGAGTTGCCTGTGTGGTGGGACAGGTGCATGAGGGGCTGGCCGAAAGGCGGCAGGGACTCGAAGCTAGTCTCCAGTAACTGGGAAGACTCCAGAGCAGCTACAGGGGGGGCAATGAAGCCTGCAGGAGAGGGCTGATGCTGCTGCTTCATCTGACTGCTGGACTGAAGGCCTGCAATTTGGGAATGAAGCCCAGTCTGAGTGGGGCCACTCTGAGCATGTACATGAGGATGTGTCTTCTTCCCCTCCTTCACAGACTGGCCCTTCTTCTTCTGATGCTTTATTATTCCTGAAAAATTGAAATTAAGGTTAGTCGCTTAAAGTAATATTGCATTTTTTATTGTGGGCATTAGAATAGTCAGTGAGTCACCTGTCCCCTCAGCTTCACTGTCTGAACTGGAGCCACTGCTCTCTGAAGAGGATCCAGTCTTTTTGGAGGTAGCCATGGACTCCACAGGCTTCTCAACTGCAAAACAGCAACTTTGTGCTCATGCATTGCCAAAACAAAGCATCAAATGTGAAACCGCTCATAGTAATTTCACATTCTAAATAAATTAGAGAATCACACACTCAGGTGTTCACACAGAGAGTGACCATTTCTCCTTGCTGGCTTCCTTACCTGGAACCTTCTTCTTCTTTCGGAGGCAGGAAGACACATATCTCTCCAGCTCGCGCAGAGTCGAAGGCTTTAGTGTCTCAAAGTCAATCTCGATCTCGTCAGGGTTCGAGTTTTTGAGTGAGGGCTCTCTGGACTGGATGATATGCACTACACGGCCGAGCTTGTCACCGGGAAGCTTGTTGATGTCCAAGCTCAGCTGCCTCTTCTCCTCATACGTCATAGGCTTGCACTTTTCCCCTGTCGCTGATGACCCAGCAGCCCCCAGATCATCTTCCAGGTTGGGAACCGGCAGCACGTTGGAAGGATAATTGCTTTTCATCGCTTCCTTTTTACTAGAGCCAAAACACAAAAGTGTAATTTGTCAACATGTAATACTGACTAGTCTTAATTTAAATCGTAACTTCAGGGACACAGCTCAAAGTATTTTACAACTAAACATGGATGAATTTTAACAAGTGCAGGTGAAGAAGACATAATGCAGATAACCTGCCAATCACAGAACATGCTCCACTGGTATAACGTGGCTACACTGAAGACGTAGCAGATGTGGACTGTTAGTGGAGCAGCCTTTTACACATAAAGTGGGTTTTAAAGTGTCTATTTGTTTTTTTAATTAAACTACTGATACAGAGGAAATTACTGTCTAATAACACCAACACGTTGTTGCTGTTTTTTATTCAGTTTTTCTTTTTTTTAGAACAATATTTCTCTTTTATAATTACCTTTGGTAAGTGAGGTAGATATACTGTATAGCCACGGATTTGAGCACATGTATGATGAATAAAGAGAGAGCTACCCGAAGTCAATAAATAAATAAATAAATAAATAAATAAATAAATAAATGCAACAGCGTATTATCATATCACCATGTAAAGAATCAAGAGTCAGTCCTGACCTCTCTGGGGCCCTATGCAAAATTCTGCTGAGGTGCCCTCCTACCTGACCCATGAGCAAACCATTTGTCACTGCCACACAGTCACACCTGACACCCCAGTGCTCCCACTACAACCCTCCCTACTTAAAAACAGTTTGCTCCATCTGTTGGGCTGAGGATAACCAGACCTTTACAAAACAGAATGAGGTATAAACACTATTTATACTAAAGCTTGGCTAAACACTTGATGGTTATTATTTACTAAGAAATGTGCATCCATATTGCCTAGTGTACCAGCTAATCAACATTTCTAATTTCATATGTAATCAATATTCACTGCTTTCCATTCTGCATCAGTCCATAGTTATAACTAAACCTTGACTGAAAGAATAGATCATCTTTTTCTTGTTTTAAAATTATGTCCACCTATGAGAAATGCTCATATATTGTCTAGACTGGTCCCCAAAGAGGTTGCTACTGTTGGTAAGTGCGAGATTCATTTCGTGCATGCTCATATAAACGCATGTGCATACACAATGCAGTCATCTTTCCCCCAACCCCCACCCAAAATCTCTGAAACTAGACAATTCACACAAGTCACTCAAATTGATGTGAAAAAAAGCAACGTTTCTCTGATGCTTTGTATCCAACAGGGCTTCAGCTTTGGGGCCTGGCTCACCCTTAAGCATTTATTTTGCCAGTACCAGCTGGTGGGTGCTTAGTAGCTTTATCCCTCAGATAGTCTACTGTGGTCTGTAGATGACAACGTGTCCATATTACAGAAGTTGGTAACAAAGCTGAAGTTTCACAGCGCTATACTGGCTAACAATCCCACACAACCCCAAAACAAAAGCTACGAGTCTTGTTTGGACCCACAAAACCCTATACTGTACATGTGCTGCAGGTGTAGCCAGTAAAAAGATACAATCCACGGGACATCCACTCCGCCAGCAGTACGCAACCATTACGTCTTCAGTGTTGCCACAATTTCAGAATTGAAAACAATCTCTCAACAAAAAACAGTGTCAGCTCAAAGACACCAACTGATCATCTTCTTGAAATACACTAATAAATATTTTAAGGATAATAACTCTTAACAAAAAAAACCCCATATGTAATACATGTCTTCAGATGACCGGACATGACTTCAGAATTACTCTCAACCATGGTCACAATTACACAGTGAAAACATAAAAGCATAACAAAAGGGGGGATTTAAACGTCAGTAAGGGTAATACAGAATTGTGTAAAGCCAAGATGATGGTTAAGGAAACATCTAATATCAAAGACTTGCTCTTACAGACTGCCTGAGGTGAAGTAAGTTTAAAACCCACCTGGGTTTCTTCTTGGGAACAACCTCTTTGTTGTTATTGTTACTGTTCTTGGTCTTCTTGGAGAGCTGCGGAACAGGTGTAGCATCCTGGATCTCATCTACAAGGCCAGACATGCCTCCTTTCTTCTTATGCTTTTCTTTCTTCTTCTCCTTCTTTTCCTTCTCTTTTCTCTTTGGTTTGCTGGCTTGTGGTTGGGACAAGGCAGCCAGCTGCTCATGGACAGCCTTCAACTGTGTCAAGAGAGAAGACGGGTTCTCAACAAAGAGTAATAAAGGCTTGACAACTAATTTGCCGCTACCTTGATACTACTCTGGTCACTGACCTGCTCCTGGAGCTCTGCCAACCTCTGCGCTCTCTCCTCTTCAGAGTCATCTGTGGAAGACTCAGACTCAGAGGACGAGTCACTGGAGCTGTCTGAAGACGAGGCGACGTGGGCCAAAGGAGGCTGGGGCTTGACGGGGGCAGGATGGTGAAGTGTAGGAGCTGGGGCAGGTACCAGAGGCTTGCTCTCAGGTTCATCTGGCATCTTGGCAAAGCGCATCTCAAAGACATCCTATAAAATGAAAAGAAACAAACAAGCTGAGCAAAACATATGTGACGTTTGTAGGAACAGACTCAAAACACTACAACATTAATACAAAAATTAGTCAGATGTGATGGACTAGGTGTGTTAAAATACAACAAATCTCTGGTCAAGTGTTAAATGTTGTTTCACTTCCAGATTTATAGTCAAAAACATGAAGCTGTTTGTTCAGTTTGTGACTGAATTTAGATTTAAGATTAAGAAGTATTTGTCCCAGAGATCTTTGTATTCACAGCCAGACTTATAAACACATAGCAATATATAGCAACATACAGATGGCAACATGTACACACGGTAGCAGACAGAAAAAGTCAGTCCACAAAATCTTCATGAGCACATTCATCCAATAATCCCAGTTCTCAACAGTGTCAGGCTCTGAGATTCATGTTTGATAGACTAGGTGTGGGAAGGCAGATGATTTTGGAAGCAGTATGTGTGATGCTCGTTAGTTTGTTTTTGTTGGAGATGGTTAACATGTTGAAGAAGAAGCAAGCAGGACAGTACAGGTTAAACGATGCTTCTGTAAAGCAACAACAGGAGTAAGGGGGCGACAGAGAGTGTTCTGAGCTCGCAGAAGACATGGCGTCATCGCTGGGATTGTTTGTGGACATCAGTGATGAGTAAATTGGGTTAGTACATTGAGTGAGTGCTAGGGAAGCATTCCTGGCAAAACTAAGTGTTCTACTGTGACCAATATTTCACTTCCTTTCCTAAACATTTATGCAAATGTTACACACAAGCAAAATAGATCTTTCTTGCAAATGTAAACTAAAACAGTGACATGCTTTCTTACTCATTCTTCTTTCACTTAAAGCTGTAGTTAGTAACTCATAAAAAATATACTTTTGTCATATTTGCTGAAACTATCTGTATATTCTGGTTGGGATCCCCTGCCTGACACCTTCCTCATAAAATTTTTCTTGTAATGTTCTTTTCATTATGCCAGTCTCTTCATTTTCTGGCCCTGCGGTGTCTCCCTGGCAGAGCAGGCTGCTATTGTGACTATTGACCTGTTGCACACGTTCCTACCTACACTTTAGTTTTTATTTGCGACAGTTTCATTTGCACTACTATATTTTATTTGCACTATGTATACTACAGGTTTTTTTATTGGGCTAGTGCAACCTTAAGAAGCTTTCATTTTTTTAGCCTTACCTGTTATGATAAAGTTGATGTATTTATTTCATCCAGTATTCTTAATTGCACTATTATATTATTCAAATCTGTGCTGTACGTACTACATGGTTGTCTACTACTAATGTTCTCATTTTGCAGCTAAACAGTGCACTAAAATATGTTTCTGAAAACATCTGAGGTCAAAAAGAAGCAGTGCGGTAACAGAATCTTCATTTATATTTGATCAGCTCTGCCTAGTTTGGCAGTTTGGCTGCAGTTCATTGATTGAAATGACTGACAGCTGTATTAGAGACACATCGGCTTTGATTGCTTGTTTCTGGTGCGCCGCAGTAGACTCACAGGCCATTCACAGTCTATCAGTCTCATGTACTTCTTTCAGAATATAGTGACAGTTTCAGCAAATATGACACCAAGTTATTTTCATAAAAGTTACCAAAATGTGCTTTAATACATTGCCAGCAAAATATGATGTACCTACACATAAAGGATTGCAAACATTACGGTATGGGCTTTTATAAATATAGTAGATATAAAGGACTATATTTACCTGGAGCTTGCGTGCCATAGCTACCACCTCGTGGTCTGGTGGATTATATTTGTAGCAGTTGGAAAACATTAATCGCACATCAGCAGCAAACTCCTGGGGTTCCCGGTATTGCCTGTTCTCCAGCTTGGCCTATTAAACACATCAAGGATATTAATTACTTGCCATGCCATAACTCCTCTCTCTTCAGTGCCTTCTGGAACAACTGATGCACTACGCCTTCTTTAACACACCTTGATAGTGCTGAGGTCCATTGGATATTTGATGATATCGTGATAATCATGTAGTCCCAGTGCATCCACATCAACAGGTTTGTAGAATGGCCAGGCATAAGCAGCGTGCTTCTTGGATAGCATTTCCCTGACCAGACTAGCGCAGTATCCCATCTGATCCTGTGGTTTGGGGCTATGACCTCCACTTGGTCCACTCAGTCCCATCCCTATGCCTATGTGATGCTGGGAGTCCGGTGCATCCTTCTTTATCAGTTTTGAAGGCCGGGAACTCTCTCGCCTGGGTAGTGTCTTCCCAGATTTGGACTCTGCCGGTGAAGACTCACTCAGTTGGTCGTTTGCTGTGGGCGTTGTAGTGTCAGCTTTCCTTTTCTGGCTCTTTCTTTGCTAGATAGAAGTGAACACAAAGAGAGCAGAGAGATAGTGCGAAAGGGGAAAGAAATAAGGAATTAGAATGAGATGCCACAACTTTACTGGTGCTCTTAAGCTTGGTAAAACTAGGCATACATGCCCAAGAATATTTCCCTGTGTCAGTCACACTTACTTTGGTCATGGTTATAGGGTTCTGCATCATGGGGGCAGTGCTCTGGATGGATTGGGGAAGGGGGGTCTGAGCAGGAGGCGGCACAGAAGTCATGATGGGAACTTGAGGAGCACAGTCTGACTGGCCCAAGGAGTAGGGAGCTCCGAGCTGTGGTGCGTGGCTGGGTAACGTTGGGGGCACGTGGGACGGCAGGGCCTGCATCAAAGGCTGGGGAGGTAGTGAAGGCGGGCCCTGCACTGGTCCTCTGGTCTGCGGTGCTGCTGAGAGGTTCGACAGACCACGTGTTTGAGGAGTTGTGGACGAAGAATCAGTGATGGCCCCTGGTTTCAAGTTTTGACCTTGATGAGAGAACAAGACACTCGGATAAATATCGGGTCTGACAAAGGTCAGCTCCAAGAGCATGTGTTGATCGCAAAGGTGTGAAGTGTGGTAAAGTGGTAAATAACTTACTTGCGTCTCTTCGGCCGCGGCCACGTCCCTTTCCTGTCATGACAACAATCTCGATTTCTTCCTGAGGCATTTCTGTGACCCTTTGGAGGAAAACCTTCTCTAGAGCCTCAGCCATTAAGACTATGTCATCTCCAGGCTGCAGGGGGAGACAAATACTCTTAGCAAAAGTGAAGGCTTACCAGAATCTTTGGCACTGTATGGTGTCAGTGGCTCAAATGTCCAGCTATGTTACCTTGTTGTATATGTAGCAGTTGGTAAACATTGTGTTGAAGTCTTGGATACATTCTTGGGCGTTCCAGTAGTAACTGTTCTCAAGCCTTTTCTTGATTGTTCCCATGTCCATAGGAGTTTTGATTATTGTGTAGTAGTCCTGCAAAGGTTACATCCAAGTATGTCAACAATGTAATGAAGACACGGACTGTTTTTCAACAATGTGACATTCTCTCCCACCACAATGAAGCAGCTGTGATTAATATAAAGCTTAAAAAAATATGTAACTCTTGAATTGCAATATCTTCTGCAATTTAGCAATATGTTTTTGACTGTCAATAATTTTGGATTGCTCGTCACCCTGTAGTGCATACTGTCTGTCCACATCTTTATCAACATAAATCTCTATGGTGTCTGCGCTATCTTGACATCAACTGCTGTCGTCAGCAAAGACATATTGACAAGACAAATAAAGATAAACAATAAGATGTATGACAATGTTTTTAAGGTGTTTTACAGGGACAGTTTACCTCAAAATCAACAGTACAACTTTCCTCTTCTCTTACCATCTAGATTGTTTTGGTGTGCATTGAAGAGTGTTTGAGATATTGGCCACAGAGATGTCTGCCTTCTCTTCAATATAAGGTAACTAGACGTCACTTGGGGTTGTGGTGCTCAAAGTGCCAAAAAAAAAACCACTCAACAGCCATGTCTCTTTAAAGAAGTCATGACCCGGTTACCCAAGATAATCCACAGACCTTGTTGTGAGCAGTTTCATGTAGTAAACATTTTCTTTTCACCTAACTACACCTGCAAACTGTATCACCGTACAGAAGGAAGCGTGCATCTACTGCTAGCTCACCTAACACCACTGAGCTAGCTAATGTTACAGCTCAGCCAGGGAGGACGGCATTAATGTCTACGTCTTGCGCTGTCATGAGCACGAGCCTCTTGTCCATGAGTAGACGCACGCTTCCTTCTGCACAATGATATGGTTGGTAGGTGTAACTTAGTAGAAGGTTCCTACATAAAACTGCTCACAACAAGGTCTGTGGATTATCAGTAACCAGGTCATGATTTCTGGAAAGACATTGCTGTCAAGTTTTTCAACAGTATTTTCTGTCTCCAACACGCAGCAACTCACACCAAAACAATCTAGACTGATAAAACAGCATTACAAGTAATAGGAAATATATATGTATTTTTTATTTCAAGATGAACTGTCTTTTTAAGAGAGGACATTCAGCATGCCAATGACTAGGTTTCCCCACTCTTTCTGGCATTCATTTTGTTTATCAATTAGCATAAAATACTCTCCGGTCCAAAAGTAGGTCTATTGATGTGCCCTGTACACTCATATAAAACACTCAACTTAGCAACAATCAAATGAAGCACACATCCACAGTGATTCGTGTGTGTGAAAGTTGTTTTTACACTGAATGAGAATGAATGGTACCATTTGACTTATTTTAAAATGAAGAAAAAAGAGACCTGATATCTTAAACAATGCGGTTACACCCCAGTTGACAGTTAGCTGCCACTATTGCCCCTGGTCTTAGTACTTTTATTGGACTTTTCAGTGCCCCGGACGAGACTTGGCGCCCTACACACAGACTATTATGTGTCTGTACATTACAAATGTTACTGTAAATTTCCTGCTTTATCAGGGAAATGTATGAACTTCACTCCAGACTGGATTCTATACTCACACTGACAAACAGAGCAACAGGACGGCTGATTCATATGAACAGTTTAATGCAGGTTGAATCCATGAGAGTTTTGGGGTGTGTGGCATCATACACAGAGACACAAGCTAGTACTCACAGGCAGGTTTAGTTTGATCGCATCCACCGGTATGTGAAAGGGCCAGGCAAACTGGTGCTTCCACAGGGCCTTCACCACCACCTTGAGCAGGTACTGCAGCTGATTGGTCTGGCGCTTTGGCCTGTTGGGATTGATGTACTCTGGGGGTGGGGGGTTGCCAAGTGTCTGGGCCTGCCCCTGGTGGCTGCTGCTGCTGCTGCCGCTGCTGCCCGACATCTGCGCTGCATCCAGGCCGTCCCCCATTTTTACAGGGTTGGGCATGGGCTCGGGCCCCGGAGCGGGAGCTGGAGCCGCAGGGGCAGGTGTAGTGGTGTTGGCAGGACACCAGTTCAGTCTTGGCCCCGGCACAGACTCCACTGACAGAGCACCACTGATCCCATTGCACTCCTCGCTGGACTCTCTGGTGAGAGAATAAAAAGGATACAGTCATTGGCATATTTAAAAACAGTCTACAATAAATCTCTTTGTTTTGTCTTATTTAACAAAACTTAATTGGAATCATTGATCAGTGCATAGTTAGGTATACTCAGATGTCTTGCTTATTGTAATTACACTTCAAAAGGTTGTAACATACTGGTCATTAACCACCATTGGAGCAGCCAATGCACTGTGCACCCATCTGTTTTAGGGAACACCTCAATGAAATCGAAACATAGAAAGCTACATGATACCCTGGGTGTAGTATTTCAAAACATTTAATTCAGATCCAAAATATCCGGGTCGAATTAAAGCTAAAAATGGGTACTTCAAAAACAGGAGATGCAATCCTCATCCCACAAATTAGGATGTGAATTTGTGATTAAATCACATTTTGTTTGGGGTATTTCAAAACACTAAACTGGGGATTAAGATTTCACTAAATGTGTGAATGAATGAAACCACTTCAAGGTAGATGTGGAGACTTGGGACACATGGCACATATTTAATCATTCTTTTACTCAGTGCTTGCATGTTAAAGAAGTACAGTCCATGCAAAAGCAATATCCTTTCTAAATTTAACAATTAACTAATAAAATATTTTCAATTAATTGCCAAACAACAAAAAAACAACTCCAAGCTATTGCAAATTGCAACATCATTCTTGCCTGCATCATGCCTCATAATATCACAGAAGAATGCTAGGCTCCTCACTGTGATGGAGGGGGTGATCGTTCACAGCCCTGAGTAGAGTGCCCTGACCTACTGATGGCAGCACTGCGACCAGATGGACCAGCTGGACAGTCAATAAGAGTCGCTCTGGTGAACCCGTATTTTATTCAGGGTCTTTGGATTGATAAAACCAGTAGCACGCTGACGACACAGCTTTGTGTTTTATATTTTGTTTTATCAGTGAAAAAGACATTTAACTGGTAATACTAAAGATAATAACACATTACAACTTTAAATTACTTTTCTTAAATCCAAAATGCCACAGAGGGAGAAAACAATAAAAATTACAGGGATTGTTAGACCAGATACATTACTCATAAACCAATTATCAGGATCATTGTCATGGATTTATTAAGAGACCTGGATTCAGCATTGAAGGTGGGACCCTGTTCATTCCGAAAGTTGCTCTGTGACGCATGAAGCCAAATAAGCTACATTTCCATGGTATGAAATTACCCAGATATTTGGTGCGCATCACTGGGCACATGGAGCAAACACACTACAGACTTCCACCAGTCGAGCCAGCTATTTCAAGTTTAGTGCCCCTCTACCTTAAATAGGGATAAAATTAGTTACTTCTGTCACCTTTGATAGAGACTTCAGTCTGCAATGTAGTTCATGCACTTCTCTCATAAACGAAAGAATTTTACAGCAACACTGGGCTTCATGATTAAATAAAGTATATTGAGTAGGGCTGTCAAAGTTAACGCGTTAATAATATTTTGTTGCGCGATTAACCATGTACCTTCTATAATTATGACCCTTGGCCCCAGAAAATCAAAGTTTATGCTATGGCCATGTAAAGTACCTAATCTTTTAAGGGCTTTCTTTCACAAAAAGGTACACTTTAAATATATCTCTGGTCAACAGTTTAAACACTATTGTAAATCAGTGAACCATGTGTATTAAACCGCATTTCGTACGATATTAACTCTTACTGGTGTTGCAGAGCTAAACGTGAATTAAACTGACAAACTTAAAAAAAAAAAAGGATGACAATTTGAACACAGCTTTTCATTCTGCCTGTGTTCAGTGCCCATGTTATAAAGGCATAGTTACGCTCCAACCAAAGTGCTTGTCAGATGGTCAAACTGACACCCCACACTATTTCGACATCTGAATTGGAGAGTGGCATTGTCAGTCAATTAGTGTAACTTTCAGAAACTGACAATCACACCAATTTCATGCATCGCAGAATTTAGGAAGCCAACGTTTAAACCTTTTCTTCAGGTTCTCTTTTTTCGCTCTTTACACAACTACTTCCTGCTCATTTCATGTCCATCCAAGTGAAACACTATGAATAAAAAGGAACGTGTGCACTACTATTGCCATGTTTAAATGATTCATTGTATCTTGCCTCTTTCTACGATGGTCAGATTTTCACACCGCCTTTGAGTGTAGCTGTTTAGAGCAGCTATAACACTTTTTCCTTCTGATGTGGTCAGACCACACATTGCACAAACTAGTTCTTCTTGAGCATTCCCCTTGCCGTAAGTGTGATAATACACTCTGAGATGTCTATTATACCGATAATAATTAACCTAGCAAAGTTCTCATCTCTCTTCTCAGTTTTTTTCTGGCATGGAATTATTTGAGAAGCTTGATACAAAGAATGCCGGAAAGATATGATACCACATGGTTGTATGAATTTGCTAACTAGTGAGATTGCAGTTTACATCCATGTTGGTCCAGACTTGTACGTAGCTGTGACAGAAGGCAATGCTTAAATATGGATGTCTCTGCGAAGAAGCTACAAACTTCTAAAACATGGACACTTCACACACATCTTAAACAGCAGCAAGATCTATACAATCAGCACAGTTTCAAGGTGGGCACACAAGATTAGAGTCACCAATCTAGTATCTAACGGTCTCCCCTTTTGTTCCAAGTTATGATGTTATGATGCTGAATAATGGCCAGAAAAGTATTTTTTCAGAACATTATGATGTCACAAATGTCATCACTTCTGCATTTTATTCTATTAAACATTTGTGTGAAATTCGGTCATGATTAGCACATGAATTTTTGATTTATGGCCATAAACTTGTTTAGTGAGGTCACAGTGACCTTTGACCACCAAAATCTAATCCGTTATGTGTTGTCTGTGCCAAATTTGAGGAAATTCCCTCAAGGCATTCTTGAGAGATCAAGTTCATGAGAATGGGACGTGCGCTCGTACTATAAAAGTACCCCAAAATACTCTTACTGCAGCTTTTTACGTTCAGATATTGGCAGCTTTACACACTCTCCCGTGACAGTGAACTAAAACCCTTTGGCGAGAGTACGAAACAAGACATAAGATGACAAAATTTAGGGGTTTGGGAGAGACAGACCGACATTTTTCAACATTTTAACACATTTTTCGATGAAATGATTAGTCGACTAATCGAAGAAATAATCGAAAAGTCAACAATGAAAATAATCGTTAGTGGCAGCCCTAGACAGAACAAAACCAGGTCTCAACCATGCCAGACCGAATGCAGCTGTCCCTTCTGGCTTCCTTACAGCTAAAATGGCGGTGAAAAATAACACAAACAGCAGAGTTATTAATTTTGTATGGTGCCTGACTTTGGTGGATCATAACATATTGAGTCTGGATTTAATCTGTGATGCTGTGGTTTGAAATGAGACCTAACTTTTTTATGGATGTCAATTTTTGAGCCACTACAAAGGGCAAAATGTGGCCTGCAACAGACTGAGTAAGACTTGTTGTTGTTAGCTGAGCCGGCTTCTGGAACTGCAGCCCCTACTGGCTGGTTCAGAGGGGTCAGCTGTCAGTGACGGTATGAAAGAGTCAATAAAAAAGGTTTTTCAACAACTGTGAATCACTGCAACTGTAAGAGGTATTTAGTATAGTCATAAATCTGCACACAAAATACTAGGCTGATTGGCCCAGTAGTATTTGAGAACAGCTGCCGACAGAACATTCATAGCACCCAAACATTTATCATCCCAGTATTCGACACATCTGGGTGATGCCATGAAATGTGCGTTAGCGTGTTGGGATGTGCCTCCATCCACAGACACGATAACGGTGGAGAAATGCTGACACACTGTCCTTGTCCTCTACACAATTCTCTCTCTGTTGTTGTAGCTGACCCGGAACCCACTAGCAGGTCTTCCAGCTGCGGCGTTTCATTCGCGATCGCCACTGTGTCACTAACTCACACGTCAACCAGCTTGTTGTGCTAACCTCAGCATATGTTGCTAATAGCGTACAGCTAGGAATTTCCAGGCAGTGCTTGTGAACTTTGGTTCTATATTACATGCCTCAACATACATACTCCGTATTCTGCGTGCGGCTGTGTGCACCAGATCGTGAACCCCACCCTGTGGCGAGTGGAAAAAATACATGAACCATGACAGCTTTACAACTTACTGATGTACATTTCAACTGAGCTGGCAGCAGGGGAACTGTGTGTGCTTCAATGTGCTAAAAAGAGAAACTCATTTCTACTTTGCAAAAAAAATCTATATACACACACAGAACGCTTACAAAAGGTTAGAACTGCATGCATGTAATTATGGCGGAAGATATAAAAGTTAATATCATCCTACTACGAATGTTAATTGAAAAATATGAGTGCACTGTATTCAGAAGAGCTCAGAGGTTTAGCTTTGGCTCTGGCATGTGTTGGTGTGCTTTTAGTAGATCTTTGTCTTCCCACTCTGGAAGGACCTGGGAGTGTTTAGGGATGTGGGAGGATAGGGGTGGAGGGTGAGGGGGAGTCAGCGTCATCTGGCAGCTGGGGAACTGTGTGTTCCACTCTGCAGAGCTCAGTCCTACATTATGTCCTCTCCCAGGCAGTCAGGGACATCACATTCAAGATACACACAAAGGCTGTTAAAACAACAAGGCCATATAATAAGCTGGAAATACCAAAAACAGACTTTAGAAAAAAAAAACACTGATCATAAGGTTGTGAATTCAGGCTTTTATCAGAAACAAGTTAGTCTCCGGGTCTCGCACACTGAAATCCACCCCCACAACGGGGCCTGAAAGATAAACACACACCACAGTATAGATCTGTGAGTAATCTCATTCTTGATGAGTCACTTTCTGAGAAGAGGGAAGCAGTTTGCGCACCACATGATCGCTGCCTTGGCCCGAGGCACTTGAACACAGTGGAGAATCTGACTAACTGACCAATATGTTGAATGACAACACATGAAAAGAAACACTACCAGTTTAACACAGATGGTACTTTTGTGGCTGGAAGGAAAAAGACCTCACAAATAAGACCAAAATAA